AAAATGGAATGTTTATTCCTGTCCCTTTGCTTATGTCAGAGTCCCTGATGGTAGAAAAGTATTTTGAACCCTTGAAAAAGTCATCAAAGAGAATGAAAAACAATTAAACTTACCTTCTTACAGTTGTCAGATGTTAATAGATCAGTGGTGGTGGGAAGTCGTGCATTAGCTCTCAAGGTGCCATCTCATGGTTGTCACTTGCTTTAAGCTAGACTCAGAATTCACCATACAACTGAGTCATCTCTGACTCATGTGCCTCTTCTGCCCCTGCCCCATCCTTCTTGGTATGGGGAGGAGGGTGTGAGAAAGATCGTAGAGATTAGGGTATCCAAGGAAATATTGTTAGTATTGGGGCCTCGAATGAATGGACTTTCTGTGCATTTCTTGAATTATGTAAAATCAGAACTGTTTATTTTTTTTAAGTTTTTATTTAAATTCCAGTTAGTTAACATACAGCGTAATACTAGTTTCAGGTGTATAATATAGTGAGGCAACACTTCATACAACTCCCATGCTTTTCACAAGTGCCCCTCTCATCCCCATCTCCCCCACCCACCATTCCTCTGGTGACCACCAGTTTGTTCTCTGTACTTGCAAGTCTGTTTCTTGGTTTGCCCCCCTCCCCCACGCCCTTTGCTCGTTTGTTTTGTTTCTTAAATTCCACACGTGAATGAAATCATAGGGTATTTGTCTTTTTTTGACTGACTTATTTCACTTAGCATAATCCTCTCTGGCTTCATCCAAGTGGATGCAAACAGAACTGTTAAATTATTGACCCCTGTCTGCTTTTCCTATCAATAAAAATCCTAGCTGTGTTTCGGATTTCCTTGCAGCCTACTGAATCTACTTGAATTAATTTATGGGAGAAAGGGATTTAATACAGAAATCATTGCAAGGGCTCCAGGAGCAGTAGACTCTGGGTTGAGTTTCCTGGAACCCCCACCAGCCTCCATAATTCCGCTGCCTCTGCCCATCCAGGAAGGTGAGGGAGGAACCTTGCCGTCCCTGCTGCGACCAGCCACTCCAGAAAGCAGCCACCCCTGTGCCTCTCCCTGGCCCACTCAGACCAGTAGTGGGTGGTGCAAGGGTGTCCTACCTTTTCCATGTCAGTGGGAGGGGGTTAGGATAGTAATAGCTAACGTGAACTCTGTATTCTTTCCTGTGGCTGCTTTCACAAGTGACCACAAACTGGGGGTTTTACAACAAGTTCTGGAGGTCAAAAGCCCGCAGTCTGGTGTTGGCAGAACCACGGCCCTCCAGAGGCTCGAAGGGAGGAACAGTTCTGGCCTGTTCCTGCTGTAGGCCCCCACCGTCCAGTTTCTGCCTCCTTCACCTGGCCTTCATTCCCTTGTCCAAGGTCTTTGTGACCCTCCCAAGGACACTCAGGATGGCATTTAGGGCCCACCCAGATAATCAAGTGTAATCTCATCTCGACACCCTGAACTTAACTACATTTGCAGAATTTTCCACCTAAGGTAACATTCTCAGGTTCTGGGGATTAAGATGGGGACACACCTTTTGGGGAGCGACGGTCAGCCCACTACAGATCCTGACAAGTACAGGCACTGTCCTCAGTACATTAAAAGGCAGCCATTTAATCCTCGTAGTAGTCGCATGAGGTAGAAATGTGTCCACATTTAAAAGTCAGGAAACCGGGGCGCCTGGGTGGCTCAGTTGGTTAAGTGACTGCCTTCGGCTCAGATCATGATCCTGGAGTCTCGGGATCGAGTCCCGCATCGGGCTCCCTGCTCGACAGGGAGTCTGCTTCTCCCTCTGACCCTCCCCCCTCTCATGTGCTCTCTCTCTCATTCTCTCTCTCAAATAAATAAATAAAATCTTGAAAAAAATAAATAAATTAAAAAAAATAATAAGAAATAAAATAAATAAAAGTCAGGAAACCGAGGCAAAGAGAACCGTGTAACTTGTTCGATCCCACAGCGAGAGTTGTGGAAACCGGAATTGGACCCGCTCCTCTGCCCTGTAACAGATGCTCAGTGGGTCACCGGATTGCCTACAACTGGTTGCGAGATCTTTAAAGAATTAACTGGAAGTCAGCAGCTGGCTTTCATAAGTAGTTGACATCTACCTAATTCTTTTCACTAGTACTTGGCAGTACTAATCACTTGCCTTTGTTTTAGCATCCTGAGACTTGGTGTCAGACCTACAAATGTCGGTATCACGTGTACCGTTTCCTAGGGTGTCCAGGGTTATTTCGAGCTGCTCTAGTTTCTGTGCTTCAGCTTCGGGGCTAAATGAGCTCAGGAGACAGAACTCCTCGTGTAAGTCAGTCGTTGCTCCATTTAGGATCTAGAACTGTGCTGTCCAGCACTCCAGTCACTAGCCACGTGTGCTGTTTGTAATTACTATGAAATAGAACAAAAAACCCAGTTTCTTGGCTGCCCGAGTCACTTCTCGGTAATGACCGCTGTAATGGACAGTGCAGACCCACAACACTTGCAGCATCGTAGAACCTTCTCTGGGATAGTGCTGATAGAAATTACACAAGACACCGTCCGAGACAGATGCTGCTTTCTGCTTAGTGTCTCTTGGCCGTCGCTGGCTGCTTCGTTACTCTGAGGGAACTGGTCTCGCAGCTGTTGGACCCATCCACTCAGTAACACCTTCAGTGGTGGGTGTGACACCGCCTCCAGGTAGCGTCCTGGGGGTTACACACTTGAGCGAGGTCGCCCGGAGGAGGAAGTTAGGTCCTTCTTGTTCTTTGGAAGAGCAGGTCTTCCCACTTTGGGTTCATTTTCTTTTCTCCATATGAATTGAAGTCATACGCCTTGTAAGAAACATTCTATAGAATTCCGTAGAATTTGAGCAGAAATTGTATACAGACTTTTCTGATTTCTCCAGTCGTCCTCAGTCAGGCGTGGTTGTTGCTCCTTTTAAATTTTAAATTATGCCATAATTTTGAATTATGCCATAAAGGCATAATGGCCTTTATGCCATTTTAATGCCTTTAAAATATGCCATTTAATGCCTTTAAAATATGCCTTAAAAAATGGCCTTTATGCCATTTTAATGCCTTTAAAATATCCTGACTGGGGCGCCTGGATGGCTCAGTTGGTTAAGCGACTGCCTTTGGCTCAGGTCATGATCCCACGGTCCTTGCTCAGCAGGGAGCCAGCTTCTCCCTCTCCCTCTGCCTGCTTGTGCATACTCTCTCTTTCTCTCTGGAATATAAATAAATAAAATCTTAAAAAAAAATTTAAAAATATCCTGAGTGATTAAAAATAAAGGACACCTCTTAATCTTTTCCCATTCTTTGTAACTGTAGTGAATAGTAAATGGAGTCTAGCTCGTGGTGGTTACTACAAATCTTCAGGAATCTGTTGCTTACAATATTTATAGCCAAAGGGAAATTTTCCATGATACCTGAAAGTATCATTTGCTTACATCAAATACAACTGTATATGTAATTTAGAAATGTCCCCTGTATTCCTAAAAGCAATTACAGTTACTTAATTTCTTGGATTTATCACTAGAAGAATCAATAGATGATACAACTATTTATACTACGGCGGCATTTATTTTTGTTTTTGTTTTAAAGATTTGTTTATTTGAGAGAGAGAGCGAGAGCATGAGAGTGCACGAGGTGGGGGTGGGCCAGGGAGAGGAGCTTGTCTATTTTGTCTTCTGGGCTGTGGCCGCAGGGCTCTCTTGTCTTTGAGGAGCATATGGCCCTGTACCCTCCCTGGCCAACTCCTCTGCACCAGTTCTTCCTCCTCTGGAGGCTGACAGAGTTATCAGTGTCCCCACACAGCTTCCCTTTAGGCAGTTACCATCTAGGTGAAAACGATGATTTGTGTTTTATGTAAATATGGTTTGAGCCCGGTCCCCAGAGCCTCTCCTCCCTCCATGCCCCCCACTCTAGGTGAATGCACAGCCTGTCACCCCTGGGCTTGGCACTTGATTTGATCTTGTGTGTGCAGAGTGAAGCTTAGGAGGGGCTGCCTCCAGGCTGAGGGGCCTCCTGGGGTTAGGCACGTCCTAGTCCCCATTCTAACTGTGTCACACACACACCCACCCACCCACCCAAAGGTCACAAGCATATATACACCTAAGTAACTCTTCATATGTCAGAAGAGCCCAGAACCTTCCCCAGTGGGTGGTTGTGAGCATTGAATGAGGTACATCATCTGAAGGCCCGCGGCACCAGCGTCTAGAGTGCATGCAGCGGGGGGTTGCAATGTTCGTGTTGGCAGCCCTTTCTGTCTTAACCTTCCCTTCCCCGTACCCTGTTTATTTCCTCCTGGCCTTCATCCCCCTGCTTCCTGCCCACCCATCACCGCAGAAGAAAATCCGACACCATGGTGTCCTCTCAGAGGCTGGAAATTCAATTTGATGATCTGCAGGGAGTTTATAGTCACTGCTGCAGTGCAGAGGTCATATTGGGCTAGAAAACAGTGGTGGTCTTGGGTGGTTGGGGTGTGTAAGAATTATCACTGCTCGCAGTGACTGAGATTAAAATTTTAGGTTTCTGTGGTCTAACTCTTGGCATCAAACTTTTTCTTGTTCCTCTGTATCACTTTGACTCATGTCCCTCTCTGCTGGTTGATGATGGCTTGTAAATTGGCTGTGGTCCTGTGACCTGGGATCGCAAACGTACAGTGATGTCCACGGGAAGGGTGGCTAGGCTGTGAGCTCCTGGTGTGGGATGGGGAAGGAGACTAGGGGGTGGGCAGCACCCCGTCGGGACCGAGCGGGAGACTGAGGGCTCCTAAGGCTCACGTGGTAAACATCTGAGCCACTTCCGGGTTTTGGTAGCTGCGACTGTGGGCTTGAGCTTTCTTACGTGGAGCTAGTTCTGAGCCAAATGAGCCAAGAGTACCTTTTGGAGCAGTTGAAAGGATTACAAAGAGATCTCGTTGAGTGAGACCCATGATACCCTGTGATGTCCCTTCCTCCCCCTGCCGTGTCGGTTGTGGATCGCTTCGCTTGACCACTTTCTGTCCGGGAACGCCTGGTTTCTAATTCTCTGCTCTCAATTTCAGGCGAAGTCGTGCGTCTGTCACGTTTGTGGCGTCCACCTGAACAGGCTTCACTCCTGCCTACACTGTGTCTTCTTTGGCTGCTTCACAAAGAAGCATATCCACGAGCACGCCAAGTCCAAGCGGCACAACCTGGGTAAGGCGCCCTCCGACGCGTCTCCCTGGCCCAGCAGCCCCCTGTTCCCTGGCCTGCGGCTCCCAGCACCACTCTTCCCAGGGTCCGGTCCGAAATCCTTGTGGAAGTCCGGGGGCAGTGAGATACACAGGACTCCAAGGGATCATGCACCTAGCCTGCCTTCAGGCACTGGAGTTGAAGTTAGTTAGTATTTTATGTAACCTGAAATGATCAATTAACGAAGGCCCACTGTTCAGCTCTTTCTTTAATGCAACCTCAGAGCCTTCTTCCCCTCATTGAGGCAAAAATTCACCAAGAGAGATCTTAGATGCAGGGTTGGGTTATTGATGTCAGCATGGCTGACAGCCCAGCTGGGTGGTTTCTGTCGCTTTCTATAATGGATTTTCACTGTTCTCGATAACACAGAGTCGTGAAAAGGCTAACGGCACTGTGGCGTCAAGATAAATTTATGTTTCTTATACTTACAAGTTCCAGCTGTCACACATTCTGGAAGTTACATAAAGCAAAAGTTTTGTCCTTGGCTTTATTTCTAACTGTGTGCCTTAAATGTTTCTCTCCTTCAGAATAATATTTTCAGTGATGGTGAAGTTGTTAGGTTGTCCTTAAGAAAATCACTTTCAAAAGGTCCAAGCCAAAGAAACTTCATGGGGGCTCAGTGATTCCAGTTAAAGATCTTTTTAGGCCTTTTTTGGTAGTAGAAATGGAATGTACTAACTGAGTCATCCCTCTTGGACTGCCACACTCGTAACTAAGAACTCACAGCAAGCGCTCGTAAAAAGCCTGCTTGGAACGAGGTACTCAAGTTGTGGTGATGAGCTGGTTGGCCTTTTTGGAAAGAGAGCTAATGCTGCCGAAGGTATTCTCATGAATTATGTCCCACGGAGGAATGAGGTCATCAGTGATCTCTTAAATTGGCTAACCAGACGGAAAAGACACTGCTTGGGACAGTATGGATGTGACAAAATTATCTAGCATTTACTTAATGTAGATATGTGCTTTCACAATATAAATGAAGAGTATTCCTGCCATGTCTGCATCTCAGACCAGACCCACGTAGGCCGCTCTGCTGTTTTTCCTGGTCTGTGATTTCATGGGGTTAAAGGGTTATGGAAAATTGGAAATCTATTTACACTTAAAAAAGCTCTCTGAAGAATCTTGCTATTACCCAGAGTCATCTATAAAAATCACTTCAGAAATTTATTCATTTCGTCCACCTGACTGATAAACTCTGCGTCTACTTTTGCTAGAAAGCATAAATTTTAGAAAGTTTGCTTTCAGAAACAAAACCTTGAAATGGGAGGAAGATCCAGTTCTTTTTTTTTTTTAAAGATTTTATTTATTTATTAGAGAGAAGGGGGGAGGGGCAGACGGAGAGGGAAAGAGAGAATCTCACGCAGACTCCCCATTGAGCTCCTCAGAGCCCGCTGTGTAACTTGCTTGGCATATTTTTTATTGAATGCCTCTGCTTTCCTGAAAATTCCTGTCATCCTCATTGTAGTCTGTCTCGGGCTTTGGTATCCCATGCCAGGAACTCTCCCATTCAAGGCATACGTGGTGCCAAGGGGCAGCCAAGCTCTCTGCAGCAGCTTTGATGGCGACTTTCAAAGAATTTGTGGGAATTTTGTCAGTTTTGGGTGAGAGGCAAGGGGTAGGTATGGGATTCTTCAATTGAGCTTTAATACATCTGCTTTAGAGGACTTTAAAGATCCCCCACAATATTACTGATGTGTCCTGGCAACTGAAGACCCGGAATACGATACAAACTGTGATGTATGAAGACATTACCACGCACTAGGTGTACTGTAAAGTTACAAAATCACCACACAAACCTGTGAACTCTTAGTGCTGTTACCATCACTATTACCAAAGGGGAAGCTGAGGCTCGGGGAAGTGGAGTAACTTATCAGAGGTGCGTAACTAGTAAGCGGCAGAGCCGGGCTTAATCCCAGTTATTCTAAATCTGTGCTCTTTATGCTGCATTGCCTCTCAGACATCTTCTATTGCTTGGTGAACCCGAGCCAGAAAAAAAATTCTTTTTAATTGTTGAATTGAGACACCTTTCTTCCAGGTGCTTAAATTAAAGGATTTTATCTTACTTTCTAATGAAGTAACTAAGAGCCAGTTTTTATAGATGATGCAGTTGAGAAAATGCATAAGAGCCACTCACAGGTGGGCAGGAGTCAGCTCTGTGGGTCAAGAAGTGAAGATTGCCTGGGTAGAGGATATTTTACCACTGTCAAAGTAAGAGTAGGCAAATAGCTGTGGCATTCCTTTTTGTAATCATATCAGGAATTCTAGATGTAGTAAAACACAGTTATGCATGTCAGGTGGCTAAGAATCCTTCTGAGCTGATCATACTCTATGACAGTTCCCCCCCCCCTTTTTTTTTTTTGAGAGAGAAGATGAGCACAAGCCCGGGGTGGGGGGGGTTGAACCCAAGGCAGACGCTTAACTGGCTGAGCCACCCAGGTGCCCCTTCCTTGTTTTAAATACCACTCTTTTCAGAGAATAGAGCATCCTGATACTTGAGGTCCTTTGTAAAATATGGATGTGACGCCTCTCATTCTCAGATTCCTCAGCCTCGAAAGTCCTGAGCTTCCAGGGAAAGTACACATACCTCACTTGCTTAGGATAAAAGTCTGAAGTGGGAGGTAAAATCCTTTTATAAATAGAGGTTTCTATGGTTTGAGAGTAGGGGAATGGTGGAAACAGTAAAATATCTAAAACACTTAGATGTTTCATTTGTGGCCATATTAAGCGTTACCTTAAAGTTTTTAATTCAATTTGGTCTCTCTTTTCCCCTTTCTCTTTTCAGCCATAGAGCTTATGTATGGAGGGATCTACTGCTTTTTGTGTCAGGACTACATATATGACAAAGACATGGAAATCATTGCCAAAGAGGAGCAACGGAAAGCTTGGAAAATGCAAGGTTTGGTTTTGCCTAGATTTACGTGCCTGCTTTGGCTCCTACTCGTGCATTCCCTCGTGTCTGTCAAGGGCAGGGCTTATCAAGAGAAAGATCAATATCTAGGGAGAAAGTCAGGGTCGGGAGATAGGATAGCCTCTGGGTTTTTGCAGGTTGGGTCTTGATTTGGTGGGAAGAACCCTCACAGCTGCTTGCTTCCCCCTGTAGGTGCCAGTTGAGGATCCGGGAGAAGCAGGTGAGGTGACTGGCCAGACAGGTGGGCAGGCGCCCTCTGCAGGGGGCCAGGGGAGGAGGGCTGAAAATGCCAAGCTTCTCCTCATGGTGTGGTCTCTCTGGCAACCAGCCCCCTCCAGGAGCCCACTGGGAGTCACCTCATTAGAATAAAGAGTGCTCTTAGCACTCTTTAGAATAATAAGTGCTCTTAGCACTTAGGAAATCATAAGGGTTTGAGGAGCTTTGTGCCAGGAACCAGGGGTGGGGACCACTATGTGTTTTCTGGTCCCAGCGTGGGGTTCTCCGGTGCTGTCACTTCCCTGTGCTCACACGTGCCTTCATGGGATGCGTAGTCTGGGATACACACAACAATATGCGGCTGTTTTCCCTATTCTTTCTTTCTTTTTTTGTTTCCTTGATTTTTTTTAGTTTTCATTTCCAGCAGATGCTGTAACAGTGAAAGGGTTACAACAGTAGGAGGTATAGTTTACTCCACTTGACTAGTGAGCATCACTCAGTGAGCAGAGCTTTCACTGTTTACAGAGAGAACATAGAAACCCAGTATCTGCTTTACACTTTTTGGCCTTAATAGCTCTGCTTTCAAACAACCCTGTTTTTTGAGAATGGAACAATAGAAACAATTCTCTGTGATCAGAATTGTTTGTATGTAACACATCTTTTCTGGAGAACAGGCTCTTTAACCAACTTCCTATTCTTTTCTCCCTCAAAAATTTAGTAACATTGCAACTAAGTCTGAATATATTATTTCTCTGGGAAGAACATTTCACCCACAGGAGCTAAGAAATGCATGGCCCAGAATAAAACAACTCTTCTAAAATCATTCTACAGGGCGCCTGCATGGCTCAGATGGTTAAGTGTCTCCCTTCGGCTCAGGTCATGATCTCAGGGTCCTGGGATCGAGTCCCGCATCAGGCTCCCTGCTCCTTGGGAGCCTGCTTCTCCCTCTGCCTCTCTCTCTCTCTCTCTCTCTCTCATGAATAAATAAATAAAATCTTAATAAAATAAAATAATTCTACAACTCCAGGTGTCAGTGAGATAGTATGTCTTTTAAAGGTCATTGAATTTTGCAGAAATTTTAAGTTACATGGAACAAGTAGGTATTAAGATGAATTGTGACAATTAGCATCTGCACCATTGTCTGTGGTATAAATCTTTTGTGGGTACAGCTGTTCAACACGATGTATTTTCAAACTTTCAGCGAGTGCGTTTTCTCCCTGTGCTTTCACTCTTTCACGGGAGACCCCTCATCTCAGTGCCAAGTGTAGCATCTGCCGCCGGGTCTGGTGCAGTCTCGCTACTCAGGGATTAAAGGCTTTGCAAAAAATCCCCATCTTGGCATTAGCGTTACGGTAGCGTTAATTGGAGGTGTTGCCTTTCTCACAGGAAACCGCTTATTCACCACACGTTTTTTTTTTTTTTTTTAAAGAATTTATTTATTTGAGAGAGAGAGAGAGCAAGAGCATGAGTGGGAGAGGGGCAGAGGGAGAAGCAGTCCCCCCACAGAGCTGGGAGCCCGATGTGGGTCTTGATTCCAGGACCCTGGGATCATGACCTGAGCCGAAGGCAGACGCTTAACCGACTGAGCCACCCAGGCGCCCCACCACACATTTTCTAAAAGAAACTCCTCCTAAGTGTTTTTAGCCCGTTGCAATATAATACGGTTCAACAAAGACCTCGTGTTGTGGCTGCCCCTCTTTGAAATACAAGCTGATAAGTATTCTATCACCATCGCTTTTATTTACAAACACTTGATGAAAACTGAGCTCATGGCACCGGGAACTGTTTTCCATCTACTTAGGCGTTGGGGAGAAGTTTTCAACTTGGGAACCCACCAAACGGGAGCTTGAACTGCTGAAACACAACCCGAAAAGGCGAAAGATCACCTCCAACTGCACCATAGGTAGGTGGGTGACAGCGCCCCGAGCAGTGGTTTGTTCTGCCAGGAAGGCTGGCTTCTCTGGGTTTAAAAGTCGATGTAAACAGCTGGATTTCATAGCACGGTTCTCCTTAAGCCCTTGTATAAGTCGTTCATCATTCCCCCTTCCCCCAACTTCTGGAACACCTGTGCTCTGGGGAAGCGGGTAGCTGGGGTAGGTTTGGGGGGCCTCATGGTGATGGACGGAAATGGTCCCTGCCCCGGGGCTCTGACGGTCTGTCCTGTAAGAAGACTCAAGTTTATTCTGCCCAGGTTTGCGGGGGCTGATCAACCTTGGCAACACCTGCTTCATGAACTGCATCGTCCAGGCGCTCACGCACACGCCGCTCCTGCGAGACTTCTTCCTCTCCGACAGGCACCGGTGTGAGATGCAGACCCCCAGCTCGTGTCTGGTCTGTGAGATGTCGTCGCTGTTTCAGGAGGTGAGCGCTGCTGGCGTGGGCAGCCTACCGTTTCTGTGACCGCTTGTACTTTTCCTTTAAATAAATGTCAAGTCCACATAATAAAGGAAGGCAGGTTTCTGGAACCTTGCACAGGGAATAATACATGCATTTCTTATGGAACATTTTTTCCAAAGGGAATTGCTAGGGACTGTTGGCATCACTTGGAGGCACGGTGCTGACTTGGAGGATGAGAAAGAGCCCTTCGGAGGGGGCGCAATGGGTGGAAGACATCTGTCTGTAGATGTCGTGCTCGTTTCATCCTCCTCATTGTCTGCCGTCCTCTTCTCAAGGAGAGTGGCCCTTGTCTTCTCCTGCCAGGCCTGAGTGTGCTCCACCAGAGCACCTGTCTTGGTGGCCCTCCGCCCCGCACATCAGGTTCTGTTCTGCTTGGGGCCTAGGCCGCACTCACAGCGGGACAGCTCAGGCCTGGGCTCAGGCGTCCCTGTGCGGGATCCCCCCACACCTAATGACCAAAGAGGCTGCCCAACCATAGATCGGGGCCGGCGCCTGCCTCGTGGCTGCCGAGAGGACCCAGATGTGCTTCACAGGCCCAACAGAGGAGCCAGCGGGTTCGGCCTCGTCCGCTTTCTTCAGTACCTCCGAGCGCAGCCTCGTGCCCGCCGCCCACCTTGTGTCCGCATCGGGCATTCCCCATTCCTCATTTTGGCTTCTCTGTAGAAAACCGACAGTGGGAAGGGACAAAATGATAGATTCAAAAAGTCCAGGGAGTCCACATGAAAATACATTTTGAAAAAAAAAAGGGGGGGGCGGCGGGAGTAAAACAATCCTTTTGACCGAGTCCCCGCAAGAAATTCTAGGCTGCTGTTACAGGTTTGTTTTTTTTTTTTATTGTGTGTGCTTTGTGTTCAGAGTGTAGTACTTACTCCTGACAGTGTTTCTCCTCCTCTCCCTGTCGGTGAGCAGTTCTACTCGGGGCACCGCTCCCCCCACATCCCCTACAAGTTGCTGCACCTGGTGTGGACTCACGCGCGGCACCTGGCGGGGTACGAGCAGCAGGACGCGCACGAGTTCCTCATCGCCGCCCTGGACGTCCTCCACCGGCATTGCAAAGGTGCGGCCCCGCCCGGGATAGGGGGCGCTCTCGAACACCACCCCGGGGGACTCAGCGCACTTGTGTTTTAATTGTGGTGGTTTTCCCCATTAATACCCCAGAGAGGTTCTTCATAGTTTAAGAGGGGAGGAAATGGTTGGGGTGTCCTCTTCCGACCTTGCTGGGAAGGGAAGAGCGTGGCGGGTGGTCCTGTAAAACCCGTAGCAGTGAACAGAGGTCTCCGTCCTTGACGGGCCTTTGCCTCGAGTCCTCTGCTGCCGGCTTCCTCTCGGACTGATTGTGAGGGAGCTGGTGTGCGGCTCCTCCGGGTTACTTGGCCCCTGACACGCCAGAAAATTCCATATATGCTCCAAATGCAGCTGAACCATCAACACTGGCTCCCTCCCCTGGTGGGGTCTCCAGAAGGACCGATCATGGCGCTAAAGTCACCAGAGAGAGCTGAGAATACAAAACTGGATCTGCACGCTCGCCAGTGCTTCCCTTACCCTAAGTCACGCTCATTTTGGGGTCCAGCCAAGGTCTTTTTAAAGATTTTTTTTAATTTATTTATTTGAGACAGAGAGAATGAGAGACAGAGAGCATGAGAGGGAGGAGGGTCAGAGGGAGAAGCAGACTCCCCGCCGAGCAGGTAGCCCGACGTGGGACTCGATCCCGGGACTCCAGGATCATGACCTGAGCCGAAGGCAGTCGCTTAACCAACTGAGCCACCCAGGCGCCCCAGCCAAGGTCTTTTTAAAGTCTCTTTCAGGACCTCGCTGGGTTTTGGCTTCTGTCCCACAGCTGGGCTCCCAGAGGGGGGCAGCCCCCCCAGGGGTCTCAGATGTGGGTGGGTTTGGATAGTCTGGGGAAGGGGATGGGGGAAGCAGCTCTTCGGGCTCGGGCCAGGAGGTTAGGACTGAATAACAAGCCACCGCGGGTCCCTCCTGCCCTCCCCATGGCGGGGCTCCCAGTCTGAAGGCCCTACACCCAAGTGTGCTGACCCAGGATCAGCTGAGGAGGATTCTTGACCGTGATGGGTCACAGTCCCTTGGAGGGCTCTTTGCTGCTTCTGTTGGCTAGGTGTGGAGTGAACTCAGCATTTTCCTGCTGGGTCCCCAGTGATGCTCATGGGCCGGTTCAGGGAAGACACTCAGGTGTAGCTGACATGTGTCGGGGTGAGCAAGTTACCTGCTTACCTGTGGCCTCTGGGGTGGACCGGCGGGTTGTCGGTGATTCTGTTGGACCACAGTTCTGTTCCCCAGGACTTCTGCTCGGCCTTTCTGCAGTCACGGGACTGCTCTCCCAAATGCCCTGTGAGGTCTGACATCCCAACTTTGAGGCCAGCCAGACTCCGAATAAGGTGGCTTGTTCTCATCAGCTGTCGGGGCTTTGGGTTCTGGTTTTTTTGTGTACTTAAGTGTTTTTCTCCTGAAAAACCTATACATCCTTTCAGTGCTCACCCGAGGAGCCAAATAAACGGTGCTGAATAGCTTAGGTGAGGTTTGGTTTCCTAGTATGAAGTATAACATACAAACCGAAAAGAGCCGCTGTGTAAGACCATTAAATTATCATCCCGAGCACTTGAGGATAATCATGAGACTTCTGTAACCAGCATTAGTCTGTCCTAAAAATCAGCTGCGTCAAATGCATTGCTGGGAAAACGTTCATCTGACAGAAGCACGATGCAATGATCATGGTCCACTTCTCTGACGTAATTCTATTGCACACGTCACAAGAAATGTCTCGTCAGAGGCAGGGTGTTCGGGGATGCCTGAGTGGCTCAGTCGGTTAAGCGTCTGCCTTCGGCTCAGGTCATGATCCCAAGGCCCTGGGATGGAGCCCTTAGTTGGGCTCCCTGCTCAGTGAGGAGCCTGCTTCTCCCTCTCCCAGTCCCCCTGCTTGTGTTCCCTCTCTCTGTTTCTGACAAATAAATAAAGAAAATCTTAAAAAAAAAAAAAAAAAAAAGAAGCAGGTGTTCCAATCTCTCCTTCAGCCTTGCTAGTTCACTTGGCTGGGTCGTGTTTTTATGTGGTTGCGAGCATCGGGTATCTTTTGGCTGATTTTCCTTTGTGGTTTCCTATATGTATTTTCCTGTATTCTGACATTTTGTCCCATGAACTCGAAATCTTTCTGGGTAGCATTTCTCCCTAATCTCTCTAGGCGATTTGCTGTCAAAAGACTTAGTGGGCATTCTTTATTCCTAGGTAATAATTTCACTTGTTTGAGGAGGAACATATATACAGATAAACACAGTCTGTCTCCTTTGTCTGGTTGAATGAAAGTTCTATAGTATGTATCTGCGATACATGTTAGTATGTATTGTGTTCCAGCGTGTAAGCTTTGTATTTGTATATTTGCCCCCGAATATATAAAACCCGTGTTGAACTAGAGAGGATCGGAGTGGTACTTACCTAGGTGCAAATGCTTAAGAAAGCAGAGCTGTTCGTGAAGTTGCAGGCTGCAGGAGCTGATGGGGAAAACAGACCGATGGGAGTCCTGCAGAGACGCTTTCTGAAGTCGGGGCATCGTGTCTGTGCCGCGGAGGGGGGAAGCAGGCATTCCCTGGCAGTGTGGGGCACCCCGCCACGGCAGGGCCGCTCAGTTGTTCTGTGGGGGAAGGGGAATCCGTGACTCTCCCCAGTGACTGGGCGTTAGCTACATCATGGTATCTACGTAGAAGCCAAGCGGATCTTAGGGAATGGAGAAAGAGAAGCACACTTAAAATATGCTAGCTGGGTTGTTCCCTCTTTTCCTGCCAAGTCTCCCTGTTCGAATAAGGGTCCTCCTGTGCCCTCGTGAAAGTTTCGGCACTTCGGCTTCACCAGCCTCTGTAGGTGAATGGCCTCACACCTTGGGCCCGAGGCTCTTGGAAGCTTGTGGACTCGGGGCACAGATGCAAATCCCACAGCTGTGATCTTTCCCCAGGTGACGATAATGGGAAGAAGGCCAACAACCCCAACCACTGCAACTGCATCATAGACCAGATCTTCACGGGCGGGCTGCAGTCGGACGTCACCTGCCAAGTCTGCCAGTAAGTGTGCGAGACTTCCCGCACGGCACCCAGCGTTCTTCTGGAACGCGAGAGGCCGTCTGCACTGTGCTGACCAGACCGTGGTGTGGGACCCCAGGTCCTGCCCGGGAGACTGACTTGGTTCTAGGTGCTGCTTTTGGAACATCATGGGACATGTTCAGCCAGCAAAACTGCTGTGTTTTGAGCAGGTTTTAGAAGTTTTAACACTTAGAGCCAGAAGTTTAGTCCGTGCCCCCCATGGCTCTGGCTCTTCGGTGATGTGGGGAAGCGTAGGTGGTGTGGCTCTTACAGAGGAGCCTCTGCGGCAACCGAACGTGGAGCAGGACGAGCTGAGGTTAAACAGCCAAGCCATCGAACGTGTTGAGATAAATCAGCTCCAGTACAGGAGGCTCACAGAGGAGGAGCAGGTCGCCCTGAGTGCTGCAGGTCCCCGGGGCCATCTTTTTTCCAGTGCACACCTGGGCGGGTGTGCCCTGAAGCTTCCCCCCATGTCTTGCTCTACCAGGAGCTAAATAAGAGCCCTGCCTTCTGGAGGGACTGGTGCACACCTGGCAGATCCTTGGCACCCATTCTCCAAAGTGTGTTGCTTTTCATGTCATGGTTTCCTTTCCCATGGTCTCCAGACTAGTGTCCCTGATTGTTCACAGCTTTGCTCAGCGTGCAGAGCTTTGATTTCTAGGAGGAGGATGCATGGATCAGTGAGGTTGCAAGAACCCTCCCTTTCGACCTCAGTGCACACTCCTCTGTGTTTTTCCATTTCAGGGTTTTAAAAAATCCTGGTCATGATCCACTCAAGTTATTTCGGAACCTCTACTGGATTCCCGCGTGCAGTTGGTAGAGGACAGAGGAGATACCGGGAGGGGAGCGGTTCTGCCTGGGTCACGCACCCAGTTTTCTGTGACGTAGACACCGTCGTGGGCATTGCTCCAGTGTTTAGACTCACAGTTTTAAAGGACCTCCTTGTCGGCTCTGTGCTGCTGAATTCCAGCAGCAGGAGGTTGTCTCCGGGTTTATGTCCTGTTTGAGTATCTGGAGTGAAGTTCCCAGCCTGTCCTTCACGGGCCGTGTCTGGGAGGGAACCGCCTCTGTTATTAGGTAGAGCGTCCCGTGGCGCGGTGCTGGCTCGGTGCGTTCTCTCCACGGGAGGTGTGCCTGGAGCTCTAAATCGCTCCCTGGACTCGCGGTTTCTAGTTCCTCAGATGCTGCTAAGCTAGATCCATCAATTCAGAACTTCTGGACATGGGGCCCAGGGGTCTGTCTCTATTTTCAAAAAACCCCAAAACGATCGTAATGATCTTCTGGATTCTGAAACCGTAGCTTTCGGAGCAGCCTCTGCCGGAAGTGGTTTACCTGCTGTTCCTCCACAGGGCTCCCTTGGGGGCCCAGGACGAGCTGGGTGGGAGCTGTCCCGCGTCTTCTGACCTTCCACGTCATTTGCATGGAAGGGCAGAGCTGTGAGACGATGTGGATGTCGTCGGCGAGCTGCTGCCTCGGAGGCTGCGTGGCCGTCCGTTCTCACGTGTGTGTGTCTCTCCTCTTCTAGCGGAGTCTCTACCACCATAGACCCCTTTTGGGACATCAGTTTAGATCTGCCTGGCTCCTCCACCCCGTTCTGGCCCCTGAGCCCCGGGAGTGAGGGCAGCGTGGTGAACGGGGAAAGCCACGTAGCAGGAACCACTACGCTCACGGACTGCTTGCGAAGGTAAGAGAGCTGCCGGCGCTTCTGGAGACAAAGCAGGCGCTGGTCTCTCCAGCCTGCGGCTCTTCGGGGTAGTGGTTGGTCAGAGGAAAGTCTGAAGAAATTCAGGGCCACCCAGGGCCCCAGGAGAATTTTCTGTCACATGTCCGGTATAGAAAATGAGACAAGGCAGGACAGCCTGCAGGTGGCTGCAGCTGGTGCCCAGTGGCTCGTAGTAGAGTCTGTCACGTGTTGGCAAGAGGACTGTTCTGGTCACCCAGCTTGGTGTGGAAACCCCCTGCCCACCGGGCAAGGTGCCTGAGAGCCAGAGAGCTGAGGTTGAAGCTCCATCACCATCTGGGGCTGAGAAGCTGCCCCAGAGTCTGGCGGGGCCCTTCCTGCCGGCCACTGGCCCGTTTGTGGTGGTGCGCGTGTCCGTTTTCGCCATCGCCACGTGGGACAGGTGCTGGGGTTAGGGGATGGTTGCCATCGGCGTGTTCGGGTAGCTCTCACACGTGATAGCGGAGACGTTAGAAACCCTTTCTAAACTATTCTAATGGACTTGAGTGTTTTACAGCCTTTATTTTCTTTTACTCACTTTAAAGGTCACCGCAGGTGTGTCCTTGGGCAGAGGTGTTCCTTACGGAGAGGGGCAGGCTTCTTGGTTTTTATCTTGCTGTATAGTCAGCAGGCTCAAAGGTGCATGTTAAGAATTTTTAAGCGCATCAACTCCGTCACACTGGTAGATCCAGATGTAAATGGGGCATCAAACTTATAATTTGGGAACCAAGAAGAACATCAGAAATGAAAAGGCCACCATTTTTGAAGAGACGGTTTCCAACTCCGTTGCACTTAGTTGTGTGTTTCAGCAAACCTGAAGCTTTGCCCACCAAGCGGGCACAGAGGGGGCAGCGACACTTTCCACACCGAGATGCCCACCGAGCTGTCCGGTCAGGGGCTGCGTGGGGCTGGGTCAGTGGTCAAGTGGCCAAGGAAAGGCGAGCACGTTCATCTCGAGTTTGTGTTAACAGCAAAAGGGCCCTTTCCAAGTTACGTTGAGAGCAGATTGCGAAGCCGGCAGGAGGAAGTTGAGGTAGATGGAATTCCGTAGCTCCAGACCCTCCGAGTTCTCAAGTGTTTCATGAGGGTACGCGGTGCGGGGGCAGAGAGGTGGCCATCACCCCTCGGGAGCTGCCTGAGGGAAGGCTCACCCCGTGCTCCTTGAGCCTTTCGGGGAGGAGGTAGACTCAGCGGGAGCACGGAGGCGGCCCTGGTGAAGGGGGAGCCCTCGGCAGGGCCAGTTGCTCTCCTGGGTGTCGGGCCGTTCCTGTGTTGGCCTCGGGCTGTGCCCTTGGCTCTCGTCACTCTGTTGCTGTCTCTGCTGTCTTACTGTCTGTGTTGTATCTCCTCAGTCCGGATTGAAATGCAGCCTCTTCGGGGGAGGAGACTGCCTCGTACTACCTTCCCGTCCCCCCCGTCGCACCTCGAGTGGTGATGGTCTTCTGCCGGGCACGCGTGCAAGCGCACCTGCACTCACCAGGTCGGAGTGCTTGCAGGCTTGCACGCGGCAGGAAGGGGCTCTGCTGAGCTCAGGCGGGTGAAGAGACTGGGTAGTTCACCGCATCCACAGGAAGGCTGAAGAGGACCCGGCTCAGCAAACACGTGGTCACCATGCGAAGCTTGGGGACCGGTATCCAGAGACATGCAGCCCGCTGCTGGCCTGTGGCTGTCCGGTGCCGTGGAGCTGCTGCTCTGGGCAAGACCGGTTCTTCCTCCAGATGCTTCTTGAGAATGACTTTTCCAGACGCAGAGTCCTCATTACGAGTATCCAACCGGTCGAGCCTAGGTCGGGTGCCCAGAATGCTGGTGGGTGGAAAAGCAAATCCCTGGCCTTCGTGGTAAACTTCCATGAAGGAGAAGACGGGCCCTGCCTCCCACCCAGGTTTGGAAATTCCCCAAACATGGGTGGAGGGGTGGCACGGATAGATCGTTGAGAAGATCCGGGAGTTGAGCTCTGTTGTCCTTCCATTCTTCACTCACGGTTATGGAATTTGAAGCCAAATCCTCTTCGTATCTGACGTTGTGGGACATTTCTTAGCTGTCGAAGCAGGTTTGGTTGACATATTTGGTGTCCGAACGTTAGCGTCGTTTGGCAGAGAGGAGGTGGATTTGGGTTAAGTGCATTTCAACTTAGGGGGCACTGCACACAGAAAGAAAAATGACAAAATATCAGGATCTTCCTGAAGAATAAAAAATGAGAAAACCTCAAAAGATGACTTTGGACTCAGCATTTTATACCGCGCTGGAGTACGTTCTTTTAAAATGCGCATCCTCAGGAGAAGCAGTGCGCTTATTGATCAGCTGCTTAATTGATAATAGTTAACAAAGTGGTTAAAACTGGCTGACGCTTGTGTTTCCAAATTTGAGGGTAAGTGACGTGTTCACACCCCCAGTCTGAGTTGACAAGCCACACAAGGCTGCATCTTAGGAAGCTCGACCCTGTCACATTTGAGAGTTCCTGCAGCTCGAGCCTCAGGCGCTTCCTTCACTGGGGAAGGAAGTGTTTTTTGCGGCCCGGATTGGTACTTTTGTTGCCTCGGGCACTTTGCTTTCCACCATGGGACACCTGCTTTCTGAATGCTTGCTGCACGGGCAGAGTGCTCTGCCTGATTTCTGCTGTGGGCTGGCATTGGGCTTCCAGTTGTAAAAGTCCATGTTTTTCCTCAGTGCACCATGCTCGCTCTACCTGGTAGTGACACGCGGTCTGAGTACTCGTCCCCGCTGTCTCCAGTGCTGACCGAAGGAGCTGGTCTAGACGTCAGGGAAGCAGTTGTGGCCCCTGGTGTGGTCCTGAGCAGTTTGGTTGGCCTGGGGCCAAATGGGTTTGAGTTGGAAAATAGGGTTATGGGGTAGTGTGTGGCAAGTCATGTATTTCCAGAGTCTTCACTATAAACATGGGGACGTTCTTCTCTCTTCCGGTCAGGTACCCAGTGTTTAAACTGCCCTGATTGTTTTTATAAGAAACTATTCCGTACAGTTTGTTCAACTCAGGATCCAGACTAGGTGTGCACATTACATTTGGTTGCAAATCCATAGGCTTCAGCCCCCGCCCCCCCCGCCCCCCCCCCCCGCCTTGTGGTTTCCTTGCCGTTTCTGTGTTGAAAAGACAAGATCGTTTTTCACAGAATTACCTACACCGTGGACTTTGCCAATTACATTTGTGGGCTAGTTCTTGCAGGTTGGGGCAAACACACTCAGATGCCTTGTACCACGTTCTTTCCCATGAGACCTAACTGCTCTCCTTGGCTTCCCTCGGCTTCCCACTTCCGGGGCACCTACTGGGGCAGGCTGGGTCAGCTGTGGTCAGGAGGGGGCATCGTCTTGCCCCGGTGAGATCACGGAATTTCTGAAGGATTATTAACAAAAGATCTCCAGACCTGGTTGTGAAAAGATGAACTTCATTTGCTTTTCAGCTTTAAACTTAAAAAATTTGGCATAAACCGTGTTGAAACATCTGTTTTATGGGTAACCACCACCTTTGCCAGAAATGCTTTTGGACTTAATGCAACCTTGCTATGTCGTGAGGTCTGTCTTCGTCATTTGAGAATGATCATTTCTCTGTTTTTAAAATTTAACTTCTATTTTGGGATACAGATTCACGTGCAGTTATTTTTTTTTTTTTAATGTTTTATTTATTTATTCATGAAAGTCAGAGAGAGGCAGAGGCAGAGGCAGAGGGAGAAGCAGGCTCCCCACCTAGCAGGGAGCCCCATGCGGGACTCGATCCCAGAACCCTGGGATCATGACCTGAGCCGAAGGCAGACGCTTAACCATCTGAGCCACCCAGGCGCCCCTACGTGCAGTTATAATTGGGTATCCTGTACTGAGTTTTCCCCCAGTGGTAACATCGTGTTAAATTGCAGTACAATGTGATGATCAGGATATTCGCATCGACGTAGTCAGGATGCAGGGCATTTCCAGCCTTCCATGTCCCTCCCCACACCACTGCCTCGTAACCCCGGGCTGCCATGAATTCAGCATTCTGAGAATGTTACGTAAATGGAATCATAGAACATGGAACCTCTTGGATCTCCTCCCCCAGGCTCCCCACCATAAGTCTCCGGAGATTCATCCAGGTTGTGTGTGTCCATAGTCTATTCCTGTTTGTTGCCGATGAGTATTCCACGGGGTCACGTAGCATTTTCTTCAACCATCTGCACACCGAACAGCACTGACGGCTGCCAGGTGTTTTGGCTGTTAACAAACACAGCTGCTAAAAAACATTTATGTATAGTTGTTTGCGTGATCACGAGTTGTCGTTTTTCTGAAATACGAATTGCTATGTCTTAACGGTCATGAGAAAATCATTACTATTTCACCAGACTTTTAATTAAAAAAAACAAATAAAAACAAAATCACTTTTAAAGTGATAAGGGGAAGAGATGAAGGAAGAAAAATTTTTTTTCCCCATTGTGAAATTATAAACGCCCCTAACTGTACACATGTTTTCAGTAGGGAAATTAACCCATTGAAAGTGATACTTATTGGGGCACCTGGGTGGCTCAGTCGGTTAAGCGACTGCCTTCGGCTCAGGTCATGATCCTGGAGTCCCGGGATCGAGTCCCGCATCGGGCTCCCTGCTCAGCGGGGAGCCTGCTTCTCCCTCTGACCCTCCCCCCTCTCATGTACTCCCTCTCTCTCATTCTCTCTCTCTCAAATAAAAATAAATAAAATCTAAAAAAAAAAAAAAAGAGTGATACTTCTTTTGTCTTTTTCCTTTCTTACCTCTCCCATCTTTTTTTTTTTTTTTTTTTTTTAACTAAAACTGTATTGTTGAAATGTCTTACAGATTTACCCGGCCGGAGCACTTAGGAAGCAGTGCCAAGATCAAGTGCAGTGGCTGCCATAGCTACCAGGAGTCCACGAAGCAGCTCACCATGAAGAAGCTGCCCATTGTGGCCTGTTTCCATCTCAAGGTACGTTTTCTAGGAAGCGCACTCCAGCGGCAGACTCCATTTTTAATCCCCGGTACAACTTAGAGCCTGTCGGTATGGCGTCCAGAAGTACATTTCGTAACGGCAGCGACTCAGTAAAGAGCACGGAGGGCACAAGAGGGTCGTAGGTTGTGACTCTCCCCCTGTCTTCTGTTGCCCAGAGAGGTCTGTGGTGAACCAGAGTGATTCCTGGATAACGACAGTAGGATGTGAGTCACTCACCTGGGGGCGGGCTTTAAGAATTTCCTCCTCCTTCCCCCGAGATTCCCCACCCTCCCCCCACCACCAAAGTTCTCTGGTTTTCTTTTAGTTTTTTTTTTTTTTTTAAAGATTTTATTTATTTATTTGACAGAGACACAGTGAGAGCAGGAACACAAGCAGGGGGAGTGGGAGAGGGAGAAGCAGGCTTCCCGCTGAGCAGGGAGCCCGATGCGGGGCTCGATCCCAGGACCCTGGGATCATGACCCGAGCCGAAGGCAGACGCTTAACGACTGAGCCACCTAGGCGCCCCAGGTTTTCTTTTAGTTAAAAGCAAACAAGACCCGAGCCTTATGATCCAGTCCAGGGGGGTCGGTCAGCTTTCTCTATAAAGGGTCAGATAGTAAATATTTTAGGCTTCATGGCCACATAGAATCTTTGTTTTATGGTCTTCGTTTTATGACCCTTTTAACAGAAAACCCACACCATACCTGGCTTGCTGGCTGGATTTGGGCCCCAGTGTAGTCGAAGGAGTGTCTGTGGTAAAAGGAACAGTATGTCCATTTTTGCTCCCAGAGCTTATGGATGTTTGTTCTGTTTCCTTCCACTTTGCACTTTGCTGGGTTTGTTACAAGATTACTTTTTTGCAGACTTGGCCCCGATCACTTTGAACAATGCCATCGTTTCAGACCTCCATTTTTGAACCCCATGAATTAGATTTGCATGGATTAATACTGTGTTACTGAGTCTGTAAGCTCTAGATGTGGCCGAAGGGCAATTCAGAAAGAAAATGAAAAGCCCCCTTTTGGGGGTGTAGAGAAAAGCACCGTCGGAAGAAAGCCCTTCAGCTTCATCCTCTTCCTTCTCTCCCCTCTCCCCGATTTCTGCAGCGATTCGAACACTCGGCCAAACTGAGGCGGAAGATCACCACGTATGTGTCCTTTCCCCTGGAACTGGACATGACGCCCTTCATGGCGTCCAGGTATGAAAGGGTTTGGGACGCTGTATGAGTGGCAGGAGGGCTGTGGCTCCGTAGGGTCCGTGATTGGCTCTGGTTCCCCGATGAGCCGGCGTAGAGGTTGCTAGAAGCACATCTGCCAAAACGGAATCGTCATCCTGGTCTTCACCCAGGACACAGTTGAGTCTTGTCAGCCGTGCTGCCGCGGCTTTGGCTCCTCCCTAGCGGTCCTTTATCAGCTCCCAGACGTGGTGAGCGGTCACGGTGCAACCACGGGAGGCAGCGCTGCGGCAGATGGAACCGCCTTTGGATACGGCAAAGCACAGTGGATGTTGCAGATGTGGATTCACATCTTGATATCCCAGACCACTTAAAACGCGCCCTCCGAATCACCGCGACACTCGCTCAGACGTCAGATGGGCGTTAGTCTCCTCGGCCCCCATAACACATCAGCACAGGCTTGGCTGGAAGCAGCGAGGTGGAGTCCGGTCCATCTGCGCCTCGTGGCTCTGCGCCGCTTGGTTTTCCAGCCCCGGCCTCTGCTGCCCCACCTTCACTCGGGGATGGTCTTCCCCTAGAAAGCAGAGTTGCTGGAAGAATTAGAAAGCATGTCTAAGATGCACCGAGGGCCGCGTCTGGCGGAGGAGGCCTGGGGGTAGAGGTGCCGTCATTCGAGCCCCGCGTCTGCTTGGGTGATTACTGTAAATGATGCTGAGGAAGTGCTGTTGTTGGTTACAGCAAAGAGAGCAGGATGAACGGACAGTACCAGCAGCCAGCGGACAGTCTCAACAACGACAATAAGTAAGTGATGCCTCGTGGGTTGGCGCCGGGCGTCTGCAGCGTGAGCGGGGAGCGTGGGAGCACCGGTGGGCCGCGTGGGGAGGGCCCCCGACGGCACGGCTCTTCTTCTGGCCGCTGGCCTGCCTCCTGTCTTGCGGCTCCACCCTTGTTGGAAATGCTGCAGGCTGTTGGGAGAGGGCTTTTCACACGTGCACCATAAAGCTCCCCGATGGAGGAGCCTGCGCCCCTCTGTCCCAGCTCCTGTGCGCGAGCTCGGGGTCTGGATTCAGGGCCCCTCGGCCTCTGTGTCCACCCGCGCTGCAGTAAGGCCCCTGTTCTTTCCTTCACCACCCACTGCCGTCGCTGTGGGAGGAAGAACAGAGGACGGCATGCTTACAGCATCCCCAGCACGGCTGGCTGTCCCCGCTTCCACTAAATGGGGCTCCCGCAAAGCAGCTTGAGAGCTGAGTGGGCTAGGCCGGCCTGCTTGCCTGTCGGGCTCCTGCTCTCGTTCTTGGGGTGTCTGGGGGCTGCGCACTGTGCAGGCTGCTGACTGCTTCTGATGGTGATAAAACTAACTCGACTGCCCCTTCTCTCCCCACTGCCGCGCTCCCAAACTAGGTACTCCTTGTTTGCCGTAGTTAACCACCAAGGGACCCTGGAGAGCGGCCACTACACCAGCTTCATCCGGCAGCACAAGGACCAGTGGTTCAAGTGTGACGACGCTATCATCACCAAGGCCAGCATTGAGGACGTGCTGGACAGCGAGGGGTACGTCCGGCCCGATGGTCACCTTGAGTCTCTGATGTAACGAGGCATGTTCTGGACAGGATGCCAGCCTGGGTGGGCAGCCGGATGGGCGGGGCCACTCTCCATGAGCACCTTCAGGCCCAGAGCGTGGGGGTGGTCATTTCTGTCCCCCACGGCATGAGCAGCCGCGGCGGGGCTTGGGGAGCTCCTTCCTTCTTGACCTGCTTCATTCCTCCCTGGCCCGTTGTCACCCACCTTTTGCCTTAAGTCCTTCGTCTTGAGACTGGCCGTGGAATCCCCCGCTCCAGGATGGGCCGGGATGAGCCAGCCAGAGCGCTCTTGAGGCGTCTGCACTTTGTATTTACTCCAAGCGGTGGGGCGCCCCTTGAGAGAGTGTGGGTAGAATTGGTGTGAGAGAGGACAGTTTTGTGGGTAATTAGGCCAGAAGGAGGCCTCCAGAAGGGGTGGATTTGGGCCAGAAGGCGTTGTAAGAGTCTCCCCCAGAGTAGCCGCCACCTGAGGGCAGCTGCGGTGGCCGTCGGAGAAGCTTCAGGAGCCGTGGGGGGGGCCGGACTGATGGGCTCACGATGTCCTGGCGGACAGGTGGGAGGACGGGCATTCGCTCTGGGCACCTTGCTGCCCAGCCAAGGCCCCTCGTCCTTGGGGACTAAGAATCAGCACCTAGCAGGCAAGCCATCAGGCTGCCAGTGGGTGCCGAGACCACTGCATGGGTATTCCCAGTGCCAGAAGCTTCGGGTTGCGTGAACTTCCGGTGAATTAGAATGTAAGCCTGCTTCCTGTCTGCCTCCCCAGATACCTGCTGTTCTACCACAAACAGTTCCTGGAATATGAGTAGCCTTATCTGCAGCTGGTCCACAGAAATGACGGCGATGAGTTGGCCAGCCTCACAAAACGATCCTCGTCCTCCCCGACTTCACGAAGCCACCACCCACACAGAAGTGCCCCCGAGAGCATCGGATTCCTCTGCAGCCTGGGCCCAGCGGCGGCCATAGCGGGTGCTCAGGGTCGTCGTGTCTGCGTGGACAGGCGCTGCGCTCGGAACGAGGCTCCCGGACCTGCGCGACAGACACAGCGACGTGGGGGCTGGGCCCTGCGTGGGGAGGGGCACCAGGGATGCGTCCCTGGGTGTCTCCTGTGCTCCTCAAGACCATGTCCGGGGGGGGGGGGTTGTTGGAGCCTGTCCTGAGGGTTCAGTTTAGTAAGGCGCCAGCCTGCTTTTGCATCGTGGGTCTGTTAAAGCAGAGAAGTACAGGAGCCAAAGATGTGGTGTGAGGACAGAGGACTTTGCAAGTACCTTCCTCGCTGTGGGTTTAGTATCAGATAGCTAGCTGGAACTCTTAGCCTTGCCTTGTCAGCAGATACAAGAACCCCCTCCCCCCGAGCCCATGGGGCCGAAGACACTAACTGGGGTTTCCAATCACGTCTGTTGCGCACATCACTTAGCATTCAGCTGCATGTGGAAATGTCAGCCCAGGTGTTCTCTCTCGGGTTTTTTTTTTTTTTTTTGGAAATAGGCACTTTCTTAGCCCTCTCTCCTTTTCTCTCTTTTTCCACAATGGTGACTTTCATAAACGTAATGGTAGTAACATGAATGAATTATTGGATTTATACAGACATTTAGATTGTTTTCCTTTATTCTGGAGAGTGAATCCTGCTTTTTCATTGGTGCTGGTTTTGTTGCTTGGCCCCCTCCCCCCCTCCCCTTCAGAAGCGTCCGGGTCCTGGTGAAGGCTGCCGGGGGCGGCGGACGAGAGTCAGGCCGAGGCTAATAAGTGTCTCTGTCCTATTAACCTTTTGAGTAAATGAAGTGTTTCAGTGGCTTCATTGTTCCCTTCCTCCTGTTTTCTTCCTGGCCACCCGGCCCACTCGCTGTTCCGTGGCCGCGTGGCGGCTCGTGGGTCGGAGGGATGCTGGAGCGACTTCCGCTGGAGCCTTTCGTCGCTGCTCCCTCCGCACTCCGCCGGGTGTGGTTTCATGCGGAGCAGGGGCAGGTGGCTCTGCGCGGGAGCTGCTGCGAGCGGGGGGAGCCGCGCAAGGAGAGGGAACAGTTCGCCTTGTTCCTTGTAAGATACCCTGCATGCATCTGTGTGTTCAGACCCAAACTTCGATTGTCCGTTTCTGTGGGGGAGGAAAAGCTGCTTGAATGTCGTTCACGGAACAGGCAGCACTTGTCCTGGGAGCCCGGTCTGCATCGGAGCTGTGGAATGTTCGTTCCTGCAGAAGAGCACCCTCTGTTTGAGGTTCAGCGCTCTTTCTTTCTTTTTTTTCTAAAGAGCCAGGTAGTAAATATTTGAGGCTTTATGGGCCACGTGGTGTCTGCCGTAGCTAATACAGAAACAGATGAGCATGGCTGTGTTCCAATAAAGCATCTTACGGATGCTGAAATGTGACAGTTGTCACATGTCATGGATTTTTTTTTCTCTATTTAAAAATGTGCAAACTCTTCTAAGCTGGTAGGCCATGTAGACACAGTCAGTGGGCCAGATCTGGCTCATTGGCTAGTCAGGTTAGGAAATGGGTAGGAACAGCAGAAGTTGAGTAGTTACTGCTCAGTGTGGAACGTGCTAGAATACACGAAACAACAATAGCATGCTGCAGCAGCTTCATACTCGACAAAGTCCTTAGTGATGCAGCTTTTAAAGCACTTGCTCAGTTCAGGCTCAGTGTATTTCGGCATTTTGGGATACACAGGAGTCCTCAGAAATACGGGTGGGTGCAAATTTTCAGAAATGGCCCCACGTGCCTGGCGGTAGTGTGTGTGTGTGTGGTGTGTGTGTGTGTGTGTGGTGAAGATTTCTTTTTGGGAGAGCCGTTGCCTTTTAATAAGGAGCAAATCAAACGAGGAGCTGACTGAGGCAGGCCTGCAGAGTTCTGAGCCGTGAGCTTTGCCGCCTTGTGACCTGGCTTTACTGGATTGTCCTGGGTTTTCTGGCAGGTTCCCTGTGGTCTGGCCTGTCCTGCTTCCCACATGTGTCTGCTCATGTTCAGGAGAGCTCAGCTATTCCAAGAGCATGAGGTCTGGGGACAGACAGGCCACGTTTCTCTTTTGTAGACATGACTTTACATTTTTGTATCCAAATTAATTGTCGTTATTCCCTGTTGGTGGCATTGCAAGTCGCCACCTGTCTCCGTGCCACTGGGAAGCTCCTGTGACCGCAAGCACCGTGGGCAGTGTTGCCAGCAGGACATCCTGCCGCCGCCGTGGTCGCTCGGATTCACCCTGTTACCCACAGAATACTCCATCCTGGGCTTGGGAATGTTTCTCTCCGCTCCCAGGCCAGCTGTTAAATTCAGGAACATGGCTTTCTTGTTTCCTCGTAACGACCCCCGTATCGGTGTTCAGGTCATTACCAAGGGCGTCTGACACTAACGGGATCATCGGGTGACCCCCACCAGCCTGCACATTTCCACCAGTGGTTTTAAAATAACCTGTGTCTTGGAGATGTTGGCCGTCCTTTGAGCGTGTCACAGGGAAACCGGGCTTTCCGTCTTCAGAGGTGGGCGGTGAGCTCCGAGCAGCGTCCGGCTGGGGGAGTGGGGGGCCCGGCAGGCAGCCCGAGCGGCCGGGCCTCCCCTCCAGGGCGCAGGACCGTCTGAGGCCTCCTTCCTGCGGCAGTGCCCCCGACCCCACAACACATAGCCCCGTGCTCTTGTCCTTTGGCTTGGTGTGTATGCTTTCCCTGGGTCAGATGGCCCTTCTTTTGACGATTCAAGTGACTGTTTTGTTGACTATAATCTTGAAAACAGAAATTGTAAGAAAAAGATTCCAATGATCGTGCTGTGGATTTTATTACCAAGATGTTTACACCTCCCTTTTACCTGTCATTCTGAGGAACTGTTGACTCTTCTCCCTTAATGGCTTGTAGTGTTTCCTATGTCATAATAAAGCTACGTTTTCTTCGGAACACTGGCCGGGTCTCCCCTTACTACTGACAGCAGCCAGAGAGGGCGCCGTGGAGGAGAGGTGGCGCCGCAGCAGCCCCGCTGGGCTTAGCGGCCAGAGCTCGGATGTGGTTTGGGCCAGTCCAGTGATGGCTCTGGGTGTCGGGGAGTCCGCGCACCCCACATTTCCTCACTTTCCCTGATTAGCTCACTGCTTCTCAGACCCTCTTTCCCTCCTCTTGTGGGCAGTAGGGTGACGCATCCAGGGTTCAGGACAACCATCCACTCTCAGAGTTTGTCACCATCACAGTCATGTGCAGTACAGGAATCCTTACCAGCGTTTGGTGACGAGATCAGGGGTGTGGTATAACAATACGCATGTGTAGTAAGCTCCCCAAATGAGCAGTCAGCATACATGAATCAGGAGAAAATGTGCACAGTTAGTGCTGCCCTTGATCCTGTAATTGGTCACAGGACTGTAGTTGACATTTGTGACATCCTCCCCGCCTCCCTCCACACTTCCCTTGTCCTCAGAACCTCCCTTAACTGGTTTTTACCTGCTGGACCCAAAGCCTCATTGCCGAAGTGTTCTTTTTTTAGAAACCATTGTCGCAAGGTCCTTTATTTCCCTTACATGGAAACACCGAGAGAGACCAGAGAATCCCTCTGGATCCCAGGCTTAGTCCTCTGTCCCCACTGAGTAGCATTCTCTTCAGATTACCCAGAATCAGTGTTGTGTCCCTCAGGGGGAGCTTATTCCCCCTTAGGGTCCAAGACCAAACCAACAAAGCCCCCAGTTTTCCAGGCCTGGAATAAAAAGATTCTGTGATTGGGTTGTTGAGTGTAATACTGAGACATGCCAGCCCCCACTCCCACGCCTCGATCCTCAGACCCATGTATTCTGGCTGTGGGGGAGTCGGCACCAGGTAACGGCCTCTGGCTAACGGCATAAAAGTCATCCTGGAAGACAGAACCCCATTCCTTCCCCATAGCTGAGTCCTCAGGATGCCCAGCTGCTTCCTGGTGGGGGCTGATGTAGTAAGAACAGTTCCTTCCATGGATACAAGCCCATTGCTCGTGAATGTCCTTTGCTGTGATTTAGGTTCTGTGATCAACAGCTATTTGTAGAATGTGACCGTGGATGGTGGTGCTGACAGGCATGGTGGGCGTGTCCATCACTGGAATATGAGTTTATTCGAGTGAAGACCAATCTCTGCCCTCTCCATGATGCAGGAGGCCCAGTGTGGTCCACCTGCCACCAGGTGGCTGGCTGGTCCTCCTAGGAAATGCCATCCTAGGGACTCGGCGTTAGCATCTGTTAGCTGGTTAGGCACTCAGCGGGTAGTTAGCTTGGTGAGCCTTGGGGAGGGCAGGTCTAAGAGTTGAGCCTATTCTAGCCCCCACCCCTGTCTTGATGGCCCTTTGGTTCATGGGTCCACCAAGCAAGCATGGTGGCTGGGGAAGGAAGCTGACTACAAATACAAGGCATGCCATTTTGTCTCCCTGATCATTAAGAGCATCCCCATAGGGATTCTCGGGTGGGCACCTGTGGATGCAGATATCTTCATAGTCGGTGCCCGTTTTGAGAGGTCTGTCCCCAACCAGACTGTCACCAATCCTTGAGTCCTGTTCCAGATGTTCGACCATCCAACCAAACTGTGAGCAACTCACCACAGATCAACGTAGATCAGTACTTAATTCCAGACAAGTGGGTAACCAGAGGTACAGCTCAAAGTTTCACTCAGGCTTGTCCTCCGTCACTGTACATAGGTGTCCTCAGTCACCCGGTTACAAAAAACACTTGATGCCGTGCAGCAGGTGTCCGTTGAAAGAGCCACCTGTTGACGCAGTTTACCTTCTGCACGTGCGTACACGCTCCTCCACGTGCCATTGCCGCAACATGATGGACGGCGGCTGCACACACCCGACCTTAAGGCCGAGCGGGTCAGACCACTCACTTTGTTGTGGGACGCTCAGGCTGCATGGTCAGCTCGGCCTGTGATACACGTTCAATCTGCTAAGTCCAAGCAACAAGTAGGAGCTGTTTCTAGAAAGGAGAATGCACATCTGCGGAGGAGGACGTAGATTGGAGTTGCTCTGAAATCCTGGAGCTCTGTGCTGTTTCTCTCCTATTGGCCCTTGCTAGAGTCTCTGTTAAGCATCCTTGTTTGCCACCGACACTTTGGATCATAGGATCTGAGTGGTAGTGCAGCGTGTGACAGCCCGAGCTTAGGTCCTCCTTGCAACCAGGAGCTGTATGGTGCCTCTGGAGGTGGGTCGAATTAACACACTCAGATGGGGTGTATGCTACTTCCCAAAACCCAGCAACACCTCTCAGGCATTGTGCCTCTTTTTACGTAGTAGGTGGTGTGACTTGCAGCCCTTTGTCCTTCACCTTGAAGAGGATATCCTGACAAGCTTCAGATCCCTGAGCCCCCAGAAACCTCATCGAGTTGGGGGCCCGAGCTTCGGGGACTTTCTTTTTCCTGCTTTGGTTCACTTATTAAAGCCTCTAGAATTTACTGCTACCTGCTTATCACATCGAGTCAGCAAAATGCCATCAATATAGTGGACCAGAGTGATGCATGATGGAATATCAGGAGTCAATATGTATATAGACTTATTATAGCAGAAAGCAGAATTAATGTAGCCCTGGGTCTATACCGGGAAGGTATACTGTGGGCCCCGTCAAGTACAGGCAAAATGCCTTGGTGGTCCTTACAAATTGGTATGGGGAAAACATGCACTAGTCCGGTCACTGGCTGCATACTTCGTGCCCGGAGCCATGGGGACTTGTTCCAGTAACGGGTCTGCCTCTGTGATGATAGCTGAGATTGGACAGCCCCTGGTCCGCTTTATAAAGTTGGCCATCATTCCCACAGATTTGCACACGCCGGACAGGTGAATTACAAGGGGCTGTGATAGGAAGTATCACTGCTATATCTTTTAATTCTTTGATGGGAGTCTTACTCTTTGAAATCCCCCAGGAGGGGAGCCTGGGTGGCTCAGTGGGTTGAGCTCAGGTCAGGATCCCAGGGTCCTGGGATCAAGTCCTGCATGGGGCTCTTTGCTCAGCAGGGAGTGTGCTTCTTCTGCCCCTCCTCCCTGTTCGTACTCTCTCTCAAATAAATTAAAAGTTTTTAAAAAAGGGGGGCGGGGGAGGAAGGAAGGTAGGAGAGGAGGAGGATGAAGAAGATGATAAAATAATCCCCCCAGGAACACGTATTGCTTCTGGTGTACTGTCATGGTAAGGGAGATGAAGTTCTAGGCATTTCTGCATGGTCCTTCCAACCACAGTAGCCCTCACCTAGTGGATAAAAAGTCAATGTGGGTATGACCTCACTGATAGGAGGAATTCTTAATCGCAGGAAACAAACTGAGGGTTGCTGGAGTGGGGGGTGGGGTGGGAGGGATGGGGTGACTGGGTGATAGACACTGGGGAGGGTATGTGCTCTGGTAAGTGCTGTGAATTGTCCAAGACTGTTGAATCTCAGATCTGTACCTCTGAAACAAATAACGCAATCTCTGTGAAGAAGAAAAAGAAGAAGAAGAAGAAGAAGAAGGTAGCAGGAGGGGAAGAATGAAGGGGGGGAAATCAGAGGGGTAGACGAACCATGAGAGACGATGGACTCTGAAAAACAAACTGAGGGTTCTAGAGGGGAGGGGGGTGGGAGGATGGGTTAGCCTGGTGGTGGGTATTGAGGAGGGCACATTCTGCATGGAGCACTGGGTGTTGTGCACAAACAATGAATCATGGAACACTACATCTAAAACTAATGATGTAATGTATGGGGATTAACATAGGAATAAAAAAATTAAAAAAAAAAAAGTCAATGTGGGGATCCTGCCAAGTGCCAGGTATGCCCACTATATATACTTAGGAACTGAGGGAATAACCACAGAATGGATCCAACATACTTCCATTAACAAAATAAGAAATTGGGGGCACCTGGGTGGCTCAGTTGGTTAAGCGACTGCCTTCGGCTCAGGTCATGATCCTGGAGTCCCGGGATCGAGTCCCGCGTCGGGCTCCCTGCTCGGCGGGGAGCCTGCTTCTGCCTCTGGCCCTCCCCCCTCTCATCTGCTCTCTCTCTCTCATTCTCTCTGTCTCAAATAAATAAATAAAATCTTTAAAAAAAAATAAGAAATTGTACGTACACGTTCTGGGTAGACTCTGAGAGCTGGTGCATGTTGTCCTGTGCTCTCCCCGCTCAGCCACAACACCTGGCAATGTGCAGTGAGTCTCCATCAGCCAGAATATCCTGGGTAGAGGGTCACATGGAGGAGAACCTATAGGTGACTGGATACACATGTTACGTGAGCAAGAAATAATTTGTTGTTGTTAAAGAAAAGCTATTGTCTTGGGCGGCGTCAACAAAAGAATGATATCTCAAAATGGGGGTGGGCCAGATCTAGTCTTCTCATATCCACGCCACTGAACATAGTGCCTGGTCCACAATATTCATTGCATCAATGACTCTCCTCAGCGTGTGACTTCGATAACAAAAGCTCTCCAGCAGAATGTGATGGTGAGGGGCGCCTGGGTGGCTCAGTCGTTAAGCGTCTGCCTTCGGCTCAGGTCATGATCTCGGGGTCCTGGGATCGAGCCCCACATCGGGCTCCCTGCTCCGCGGGAAGCCTGCTTCTCCCTCTCCCACTCCCCCTGCTTGTGTTCCCTCTCTCGCTGTGTCTCTCTCTGTCAAATAAATAAATAAAATCTTTAAAAAAAAAAGAAAAAGAAAAAAGAATGTGATGGTGAGCAGAAAGGGGCCAGGTCCTGTCCCCAAGGAACTTGCGGGAAGGGAAAGAAGCACTGACAAGTATCTGAGAAATGTGGACAAACACGGGTACAGTGCTCTGGCGATCTTACAGGGCAGTTGGGGGCCTGAGGAAGTGACATTTAGCAAGACAGGGGCCATGGTGGTGTGGGTGGGGTGGCCCTGTTGATTAGAGGATAGCGCTTTAGGCCGGGGGGGCCTGGGGCGCACACCACAGCATCCACCACACTCAGTGACATCTCTGA